AAAGAAAGAAAGAAAGAAAGAAAGAAAGAAAGAAAGAAAGAAAGAAAGAAAAAACGAATGAACTGGAGAGAGAGAAGAGAGTCTACCCACTGTTCAGGGGTCCAGGTCCCTGGGGCAAAGCAGAAGTCGGCCCATGGCTTCTGGTTTGCTTTCGGTAACCCAGTGGGCATTTCAGATTGCAGACACATGGTTCAGACACAGAGTGCTGAACAGAGGCCCATGGCCCTTGGTTTCCTCTGCTAGCCTGTGACACTGCCCTCCCAGAAGGCCCCTCATCTCCTGCTGTGTCACCAAAGGTCCCATTTACCAGGCACTTGGGTATGCTGGGCCCCTGCATTCTCTCCTTTACTCTTCGTGCCCGCTCTGTAAGACTAGAATTATCCTCCTTTTACAGATGAGGAAACTGAGGTCTGAGATCTGCCAAGTCCCCATGGCTAGTAGGAGACTGGACTGTGTCTGTCTGCGCCTGTCTGCTTCCATGTCCTGGCTCTCTGCCCCCAGCACGAGCACCCTGGGCTTGAGCGAATGACTAGCATGGCATGTCGAGGCCCAGTCTTGGGAAGAAAGGCCTGGTTGTCTTCCAAGGAGCTCTTTGCTACACAGTTCCTTCAAAGCACTTCTTACCGCTCCATTTGTACTTGAAAAGGCAACTCATTTGCGTGGTTCAAAAAATCAAAGCCCACGAGGGTATCCAGTGAAGTGCTGACCCTGTCCCCAGCCCCCAGATGGCCTTCCTGGGAGGACCAGTGTCACCAGTCTCCTGAGGGTCTCATCTTAGAGAAGCAAAGAACTATGGGTACTGTCCCCTGCCACCCCTTAAGAAACACATAAAACGATAATGTTCTACACACAATACTTGGACCTTGCTTTTTCCCTCTTGATATTATTTCAAAGTTTATTCCACATCAAGACATAAAGAGCCTTTTCATTTTTTAATGGCTGCACCGTATTCCAAGGTACTAATGAATCCAACGAAATTCTGAAATTTATCCAACTAAATTCTGAATGTCCACCCCTGCCAGGCACTGCTCGAAGGCCTGAGGCCCCAAAAGAGGCCCTTCTGCTCAGAAGGCTCACACTGCAGACCGAGTGATGAGGCCTGAAGCCATCTCCAGATTCATTATCGCAAACAGTGTTGCAGGGTCACCTTTTGTATTGGTCACATCGCCCACGTGTGAATTAATCTAGAGAACATACTCTTAGGAGTGGAGTGTGTGGGTCCTTGGGGCATTTGTACTTCTGATACATGCTTTCTGGGGTCACTCTGCCTTGGAACTCTCCCACAAAAAGGTAAATGTAGGGGTAGCGCCCAACATTTATTTTTTGTACCCTCGCCCACCAACATCCTTCCATCCACCGCGCCTATCACACATTTATAGTCCCAGATAGCCAACTTCTCTATACATCGTTGTCCGTCTACATGCCTGTCCGCCCATCTGTCTATCCATCCACTTACCCACGCATCCATCCCAACACCTTCAGTCTACACGTACCCATCCAGGCATGCTTCCAACTCACCCAGTCAATGCTTTTCAATATCTGTCTGTACTGTGCCGGGTCTTCTTGCTAGATCTATCGGCCACGGAGAGATTAAGATAATTCTTTTATGTTCATGGCACTCTTGGTCAAGTCAGTAGTCACTCTGTCTTACCCACTAGGCGACTATTTGTTGAGCTCCTTCTAAGTGAGGAAACTGAGGCTCAGAAGTTTTAGTAGTGGCAGCCAGCTCCAGCATCCTGGCTTTCCCATTAGAACCTAAACTTTGGTGCAACGAGTAGGGAGGGGCTGGGGGTCCCCCCTGGAGACTGCTGCGGTGTGGCAGGTGTGTGTCATGGGAGAAGTGTTGCTCCCCTTGCTACTCCTGTCAGTTCCCCAGGCAGAGGCTGAGTTTCTCCTTCTGAGTTGACTCCTACAGAGCCCTAGCCAGCGCTCACTCCCAGAGGGCTCCTGGGGCCAGGGACCAGCCATGGTGCCCAGTCGGCCAGCAGGGGGCGCTGTTGGTGAAGCTAAGTGCCCAGAGGGCTAGAAACCCGCACCGTGGGGCTCTCTCTTTAGGGCCCTCTTTCTCCGCAGTGAGCACCCAAGTGCCCCCAAATGGGGGGGGGGGGGCAGTTTCGAGCAGACTTCTCTGGCTTTCTAGGTCTTGGATTCCCCTTTTGTAGAGCAGGATGGTGAGTGGGGATTAGGTGGCCTCACAAGACTCTGTCTCTAGGTAGACTTTTCCCAGGATGCACACAGTATTTTATGTAGGGTCAGGGACCTAGTGGGGCCTTGCTAAATGGTTATTGAATGACCGATATGTTGTTCCTGGAAACTGAGGGGCACTCAGCCCAGCCAGGGAAGCTCTAAGCAGGCATCAGGAGCCCAGACCCACCTAGGCAGCCACCTTGGGGCCCAGAGGCTTTTCTCCTTGCTGAGTGTCCCCCGGTCCTGGCCTGGAACACTGGTGAGACTCAGGGTGGGTGGCAGGCAGCAGGAGAGATAGCGAAGATCATGGGGACAGCTGCATGGCTTATGTGTCTTAATCTATAGAACAGAATGTCCAGCTGATGAAGGAGATGCTCACAGGTGAGGTGACATTGGAGATCAATGGACAATTGGGGTTATTGACCCCAGGAATGGATGGGGCTGGCAGCTCCAGCCCCCACAGAAAAAGGATGAGGGCGTGGAAGGCTAAGAGTCTTGGGTGTGGAGAGGCGAAGGAGTTATGACAGGCAGCTCATTGAGGAGCAGTCTGGAATCCTCCATCTGTCCTGGACCTGCCATGTTTAGGCACCAGGCCTGACCCTGTGCATTGGTAATTTACTTAATCCTAAAAGGCTCAGAGAGGGGAAGCAACATGACCAGGGTCACACAGCCAGGAAGGGGTTGGGCTGAGAGTCAAACACTCTTTCTATCCGTTAATGCAGTTTTTTTCCCACTCCTCCAAGACTGGAGTCAGAGCCTCCTGGAAGTCCCCACTCAAGCTGTGTCTGGGCCCAAAGAGATGTCCCCTTTTTCTACCCAATCTGTCCAAACTCATCCACTTGCTAGCCGCCGG